AAATTTTTCTTTGAATTTTCATTCATTTATTTAGTACTATTTTTGAGTTTAAAGTAATCCTTAGATTTAATGTTTAATTCTGAATAGATTTTAAAAATGCTTTAATTAATCAAATAATAAAAAAATAAAAAATTTGAAGCTTCTTCAAAGCTTCATTTAAGAAAAAAAGAGAAGTTTAAAGAGAGAAAAAATCAGTTAAGGCTGTAAAGAAACAAAAGGAAAATAAAAAGTGTGATAGAGCATTATGTTGTAGAAGTTTAAATTTTGTTGGTTTTAAGACTTTTAATTCAAGCAACAATTTTTAAAGTCCTTCACAAAACTCAATCACCCCTATAATTAAAGTACTTTTCTACTGTACATTTGTGATGGAGCATTAATGTTTTAAAGATTTGAAGCTAATTATCAATAAAAAAAATTTATAAACCCAAAACCATGTGTTCAAAATCCAACAAGATTTGAAAGATAAAAGTCAACATTAAAAATGCATCTTCTAATTTCTTAGGAAAGAATGTACAATTCAAAACTTAATACTTAAATATAACTAACTAGTCAACAAAAATTAATAACTCGCCAAAAATAGTTATTCAAAGTAATCAATAACGAGCCATATTTGAAATTAAATAATTAACAAATATATTGACTTTGAATTCATGAATTTCAATTTATTACCTTTTTTGTACTTTAAGAAATTATATAAAAGGATACATAGGGAACTAGTTTAGATACACTTAAAGCTTCAAAATGTCTTACATCCCAAATAGATTCAATATTTATGGTGGTGATACCACAAACCATCGTGAATCATTTCCCATCAAAATGAATCACAACTCCAATATGGTTCGCTCGATGTTCGTTACATCTGATCGCATGAACCATAGAGATTCGTTTTATTCTCCTCCTTCCTTTTCTTCTTATCAAAATTCACAGGTCTCTTCATCTTATGTTGGATTTAATAATTCACATATGACGAAAAGAAATTTTGATTCTGTTTCTCGTGCCAATTATTTTCCTACTAAAGATAAATATCATTTTACTCAAGTTTCTTTCACTCAAACCATCATAAATAGGTATACAACTATTGTACCTTCCAATCTATTTAACAGTGTCCACTATGACATTGAACGTGTCAAACGTGCCATGGATTCTACAAATACTTGGAACCCTATATCTCATCTTCCAAAGTTTTTTGATAACCAATCCGAGATTTTGAAGCCTACCCCTCTAAATATCGTGTTTCCGCACCAAGATTTTGTTGATCGTCAACATTTAGACATGGTTTCCTTGTCATCAAAGCACAACCGTGTTTCGCAAGCTGGTCGATCCCTGAAGAAAATTCCCAAACCAACCAATATTTTCGAAAAATTTACTTCTTATATTGTTTCTCAAAAAGATGAGAAAAATGATGACGATCATTATGATGGTCGTACACATAGTCTACCGTATAAAAAATTTGGTCCATATACATGTCCTAAGTGTAACGGTGAGTTTGACACCTCTCAAAAATTTGCTGCACATATGTTATCTCACTACAATAGTGAGACGAACGAAGAAAGAGATCAAAGACTGCGTGCAAGAAATAAAAAAAGATATCGTAAGTTCATGGAAAGTCTCAAAAGATCAAAACAGAAGATATGATCAGTAGCGGTGGAATAAGCGACGATGAAACTTTTCAACATCTTGTGAGCGTTAAAGAATAGCTTGGTCATGATTTTATTTTCTTAATATCTATTTTCCAACTTATTTTACATAAACAAAAAAATCAAAATTGTCTTCTAATTCTAGTATTTCAGCATATTTGTTATTACTAGGAATGGTATACATATTTGCATAGAAAATTGTAGTCGTTATTTGCTTTTTATAGCTTAAGGTTTGGTTGTTTTTATAAAGTAATTTCTTAAATTTTCTAAATTATGAACTATTTTCAGATTTATCTCAAATACAACATAAGAATAGAAATAAATTAACAGTTGTAAAATTATTTTGATATGTGGTAAAATTAGTTTATATGAGAATTTCCAAATAGAAGCTGATAATTTATTGTAATCTTTTTTATGTGAATTATTGAAAGAATTTATAGGAGTAAGTATATGATTAGCAAAAACTTACATGAACTCCTTCACACAACTTCTCGAGTTTGCTCCCCCGCATTTGGAGCTTTTGGAACTTCTCGAGGTTTTCATGACGATAGTTGGAAGGCATACATTTCATTTGGTATCAATCAAACCTCAATAATCTAAGTATAGAGGGAATATAGTCGACACATTCTTCTAAGTACCATCGATCTAAATAAATGACATACTTTTAATTTTATAGAGTGAGATATATACGAAAAGAGCATGAAAATATTGTGTTATGTACGTTCAAGTAAATCACATATATCCTTTGAATCCACAAGGAATTCCAAAAAAATACAAGAAGAATGGTGCAATTGATTGGTACTACTCATCCACAAAAGTCAGAATCAAGTTTATAGCCTCTTATACTTACATTAATATCTGATTTTTGGGCCGACCGTGGAATTTTCTCAAGTACTTGTCTACTAATAATTCACACATGAAGACATCTCATTCTTTAAATGATGAACCAAGTCGGATCCCATAAAACAATCTCACGTCCTACATCAACTCTTCCTTCTGTTCATCTTTTACATTACATAAAGCAAATCCAAAATAAGAAACATAGCAAGTTTCTTCAATTCTTCTCTCAGAAACTCCTACTACTCTCATTGAAGAAAACTTTGTGCTTTTTTTTCCCTCTAAACGCAACCCAACTGCTTCAGGTTTCTTCTTTACCCCTTATGATTCATCTTAACTTTCAATTTCCATATATCCAACCATCTATCAATAAAAGCATATATATATTCGAGAACAAGACATAAATAGTGTTGGTTCCGAGGCTAGATTAAAAATGCCTAGCTGAAGCAGCTTTCTCGTCTCTATCGACACTAGAATGCATCCTACAAGTAAAGCCAACCAAACCATCCTAAAGGCATCTTCATGCTTTCTGTTCAGACTAGACCCTAACAATAGAGCAGTACACACAGCAACTTGTTCATGAAACTTCCTCGTCAAACACCTTACGTAAATCCTCTTCTCATATGAAAAAACCCTAACTTGATGATGAAGCCAAGAACTTTGTGTTGAACTTATAAAACCAAGGTAACTCTTGTTTTTTTTTATTTCTTTTTTTGGCAAGATTTAATATCTAGGTTATATTATTTTGAAAAACATCACCTCTTCATATTTAATAATTAATATTCACATTCCTATCAAAAATAAAAAATGTCCGACACAATAAAAATAAGAAATCTTTCTTGATTAATCGTACCGTACCATTCGACACAATAAAAATAAGAAATCTTTCTTGATTAATCGTACCGTACCATTCGACCCGTGGTATTTCTCTGCTCATTCAAATAGGACTCCTAAAACTTACATAGATTTTAAATCACTTTAGATTTACTTTAACAAACCAATGAAGAATGATGAGAAGGAACGAAAAGGCTGTCTACGTGAAAGTCATGATAATCTTCTTATACACTTCTTTCTGATGTTAGTGAAGCGTGACACCAAAATTAGTTGCATCTCCACCCGTCCATGAACTCTTCACTTTATTACGAGTAGTAATCATGAGATGGTAGAATAATTTCGCTTAGGAAAAAAGAAGCAATTTCCTTCAAATCTCTAAAAATAATGGAGTATAAAACAATCTCCAATCAAACCGTGTGGATGTCTTTTAGCATGTGTAATTACAGCATATGAATGGTTTAAAAGAAAGAAAAAGGTGAAATATACACATGCCCCGCTTTAGGAAAGTATTTGCACTGGATCCAAAATATTTTTGGAGAAAACTTTAGTTATATTTAAGGGCTTATAAATAACTTGAGATAACCAATGATAATCAAGAGATATAAATCTAGAAGGTATTATTATGTTAACAACTGATCATTAGACCTAGATGAAGGCATATAGAATCAAAAGGGTCTGGTTTATAATAGTGATAGTGGAACATCGGTATGCTGAATTTCTTGAAGTGTTGATTAGAATATGGTCCTATACTCTCATAGGCATACTTCTTTGTAATATTGATTCCTAGAATATATTATTGTTAGACACTCTATCACCGAGAGAAAGGCTCCACACAACACAAGGAAAGAGACTTAACCAGAGAGATAGAAGCAAAACTCCAAAACTATCACTCTATCAGCCCCATCTCTCAGAAGATTTTTATCTTCATTAAGAAAGCTAACGATATTCCACAAAAGGCACAAAATAGAAAATTGTCTATGGGCATTAAAATAAACCTGTAAAAAAACATCGAATTAGAAAAAAACAGATTTTTTTTACAAATATAAACCAAGTATTTTTCAGTTTCCATAAAATACACGATATTTTTTGTATCGAAAAATATTACGGTAACAATTTATTTTACCAATTTTAATACTCAAAGTATAAACCGTGCATCTATTTTAAGACACCTCGTAATAGGAGTTTAATGACGATATTTACGATGTTCAACGCCGTTTAATTTGTTATTTCGTTTAGCTTGTAAAATGAGTTTAACAACAATTAACATATATGTTCAAAGATTCTTTCTATTTAAGTAATAAAAAAATTTCCAAATCTATATAATCTTTAATTCGGATAAGAGAATTAACCCTAAGTTGAGAATTTTGAATTTGGTTAATGTATGTTTTATATATGTTGTAAACTAAATATCCAGTTCAGATTACTCGTGTAATTTTTGGTGTAAAAAAGAAAAAAACACTCGGTGTATTTTAAATGGCCTCAGAGATTGTAAGTACACTTAGACCATCCTTATTGGGAGGTTTTTAGCTTAGTTCTTAGCTCATGAGTGATTAAAATTAAAGGTTGAAATGTTGATTTTGCTAAGGAATGGTTCTTAGTTAAGTGGCTTAAGAGCAAAAAATTGGCTTAAGAACCAAAACCAACTTTAACTTTAATTATGACTAAGAAACAACAAAGAAGTCAAGAAGAGTGACAGATATACAACATTTATCAAATTCACACGAAACGAGTACACGAAAATAGGATGGGTACACAATTGCGAACATAACAAATTACAAATTTACCCTTGGCTCCTAAAAGCTAGCTTTCCTTAACGACGTGAAATTAACGGAGCTTCCTAACGGCGACTTAGCAACCTCAATATCAAACGAATCATATCGCCGGAAAATCTCAATCACAAACAACCTCGCCACCAAAACAACGAAATCCTTACCGGCGCATTGTTTATTCCCCACCGTCGGAGTCTCCGTCTCCGGTCCATTAGACCACAACACATGCCGCAACAGCTTCTCTCCTTCTTCTCCGACGAATCTCTCCGGCACAAACTCATCCGCTCTATCAAAAATCTTCGGATCTCTCGTCGCCAACGGTTGATAACCATAAAGCATTTCACCGGCTTTGACTTTAAACGCCGCGTCGTGGCTTTCGATAACCAGATCTTTCTTCGCTCTACCGTATTGAGCCGGAACCGGTGGTTCAAACCGGAGACATTCGTAAACCACAGATTTGGTTAACTCCATTTTCTCAATCCCTCCCATTGTGAGTTCTCCACCGTTGGATTTAATCACAGATCTAATCTCCTCCGCTAATTGGTTATGAACTTTATGACCCGCCCGCCCGATCCGTTTAACCATATTCGGGAAAAGGATCTTCATACCACCCCACGTGTTGAAGCACGTGGCGAAGAGAAGATTGTGTGTCGCTTCTTCTCGTGAGATACCCAATTTATCGGCTTCAACGAGAATTTCACCGGCGGATTCGTAGAAAAACTCGTAGAGTCTCTGGTAATCAGATTTGACTAACGCCGGTGGTAGACTAAATGTATGGAGGAGAGGATCTTCAATAATCCTTGGTAAACCAAGAGAGAGTAAAGGATGGAGATTGAATAAAACCCATTTAGTGATCAAACCCGGCGCGTCGGCTTTGAGCTTTGTATCTACGGGATTCGTCCCGTAGAAAGCTCGAGCCAAAAAATTAAAGGCGGTTCCGTCACTGGAGCCGCCGAAATCGGCTTTTCCTTTAAGGGAAAGCTCTTTCTCTAAAGAATCGAAGAGGTCTGAGTAAGTAGCTTGAAACTCAGGGAAGATCCGGTTTCGAGATGACTTGAGGAGGAAGAAAAGTAATGATTTGAGCTTTTCGTGTTTCGGCTCGGACGGATCTAGGTAAGAGAGGATACGGTAACCGCCGGTTAGGTCTGTTGAAGGCATGTAAGTACCAGTGAAAAGATCTTTCTTTTCGACTTTATCGACATCGAATAAAACCGGGAAGCTTTTACCGTCGAGTAAAGCCACAACTTGTGGATTCTCGGCGATAAAACCTCCCGGTGGCATGTTGACTCGGTACACCGTTGAATTGTATTTACGGATTCTTGATTTGAAGAACTCTTCAGCTCCTTGGTCGTAAAAGTAATCCCAACGGTCTTTGATTGGTCCAACGATTGGTAAACCGTAGTTTCCCGGTATGGTCCGGATCGGAAGATCTTTTGACCCGGTTCGTGTCGCTACGGCTAGATCAGGAGGTGTTTCTGACCCGGAAGCTTTGATCGGACGGGTCAAAACTCGAAATTTCAACGGCTTTGATCGTACGATCTTTGGGTGGAGAGAAATCGGAAAAGGAGTTGAAACTGAAGCCATCAATTCGAAACAGTGGCGACTAGGATTTTTTTTTTTGTTGTTTTAAAGAAAGAAGTAAATTATGTAATGAATGATTATTGTGTAGAATTGAATTTGTATTTATAAAGGAAATTAATAAATGTGAATGAAAAATGAAAATAGTGAATTTACGGGCCGTGGAAGGAAGATTCCTTTTTCAGACCACGCAGTTATTAAGAGATCTATTGGAGTCTCTGGCCACCGGCCGATTCATTTAGCCACGTGTTTTGACTCTTTTTTTGCATTTTATATAAGTTGGTACTTTTTTTTTCTTTTTTTTTTTTTCTTTTTGACGTTTAAAAGTTGGTACTATTCTCATAATTTATGGAGCTTGTGGCTTTTGACAAAAAAAAAAAAAAAAAAAAAGGAGCTTGTGGCTCTGTTTTTTGTATTTTTGTTTGTTTTGTTAATTCCTCATTTTATAATAAATCCTGACATTGTACAATATGCGAGATTTGGCAAAAATTTGAGTAATTTTTTTTTGGTTTAGACGTCACTTTGATAAATTAATGGAAGTAATATCCAGAGTTTTTAACCCAAAAAAACAATAATATCGAGTTTAAAATAAATAATTTTTAAAAGTTGTGTGTCTAAATTGATAGTTTGAACTTTTATGAGAAATAAAAAATTTTGACAAAAATATGTATTATTTGAAAAGTTCCAAAAGGTGGAGATAATGTTTAGTTATTTTCCCTATTATGTATTACTATCATATTTTATGGAGTTTATTGCTCTGTTTTGTATCTTTTTGTTTTGTTTGTTTTTGCTATCCCCCTTCTGATAATAATTTGAAATTATAAATTTAATATTTTGTTGAAATATCCACGTTTCGAAATGGTATGTGTATTTTATCTGAAAATCTGGCTCGATAAGGAATTTTTAAGTATTCGAAAGAGTTAACACGTACCAAACGTTAGTTTTGTATCTTAGCGCAATATATTGATTATTAACGAACATATCTCTCTTCTAAATTTTCACATGATATCATTTTTGGACGAACATGATAACTTGTCTCGAGTGTGTATATCGGTTTTATGCTTCCTTGGGAAGAATATCCTTAATTTTTTTTTTCCGGTAAATTGGAAAGAAAGAAAGAAAGAATATACTTAGGTCATTTTTTTTGAATAAACCTCATAACACTTCCGGATTAGGAGTGGCCAGTGGCTAGCTAGTGATGAAAATAACCAATGAATACAATTGATTTCCTTGACCAATGAATATCTTTTTTCGAAAGGATAGCCAATGAATACACAACTGATTTGCTTGACCACCAAATTTGTCGCATCATTATGTTGGTGATATGTTGTGTTTTAATGTGTGTTGAGTATTTGTTTTCTTTCCTATATCATATCTTTTATAGAGTCTAAATGTGTTTTTAGAGTCTTTTAGTCCTTTATCGAGTCTATACAAGTTTTAGGTTGCGTAGGAGAAAAATGAACTATTTTGAGATTTAGATACACATTTAGAGATGTAGTTTCGTTTAGAAGTGTCAGACGTTTGGCCTCATATGGAAGACTTTCTAAGCTTGATGAAGATGTTAGCTTGCTTTCCAAGTGATTTCAAGGAAATCTAACGGTGCATTCAAGAGTTATATATGAATTACTAAAGACATGTCTCTTGTATTCAAAGAAAGATTAAGAACTCAAATATAAAGAATAACTCTCTTTATTTCTTTAGAAGAGGCGTGGTGTCTGTTATTCCCATACGGACCTTGTAGAGACGATTTCTTGATCTACTTGCTCTAACAAGCAACTTCCCATCACGATCATGCATGGTTAAGTGATCATCTTTCATTCTTATATCATACCCGGACTCCGTAGCTTGGTCTAAGCTGATAATGTTGCTCTTCAAGTCTGGGATAAAATATACATCTGACATCTTCCTCTGTTCTTCATTCCTATCAATGAACAAGATTGATCCTTTCCCCTTGATGTCTATGCGTGAATCGTCTCCAAATCGCACTTTACCCGTAATAGAGTGATCAACAAAATATCGCCGGTCTCCTGTCATGTGATTGCTTGCTCTATTGTCAAGATACCATATGTTCTCTTCTCCGGTGTTTGTCTCATATTCACTAGGCTTACAATTCTTTCCATTCAAGTACACCACCTCATGCATCATGAGTTCATCCGCTTCTTGTGTGTCATCATTGTTCTGTTCTTGAACTTCTTGTAGTTTTAGTAATCGATCCGGACATGTAGAGGCATAGTGACCAAGCTTGTCACACCGAAAACATGTTACTTTAGACGTGTCTATTTCTCCATTAAAATGGCCGCGGCCTCTTCCTCGATAGTAACCGCGTGTTCCACGTCCTCTGCCCCTATAGTCATTGTTGTAATCCTGGTTTGAGTATCCAGTTTGAGAGTCCGCATTAGCATACATGAGTTTGCTATAATCTTCATGTGGTTCTTCTTCTTCACATACACGTTCCTCATACACTTTCAATCGTCTGACTATGTCTTCGAAAGTTGTAGTATTAAGGTCTAATACTTGTTCCAAAGATGCGACGATATGGATGTATTTTTTTCGAGGAATACTCTTTAAGAACTTCTTAACCAGTTTTGATTCTTCCACATGTCTAGCCTTAATCGAATCCCACACTTTCTTGGCTGTGTCGAGTTCTCCGATTTGTAATACTAGGATTTCAGGGATTGATTGGAAGAGAAGAGCCATGGCTATGTCGTTCTTCTCTGCGTCATCCGTCGCGGTCTCAATAACTTCCCAAGCCTTATGAACCTTAAGTGCTATCTTCATTCTTATGGCCCAAACCGTGTAATTTGTTGCGTTTAGCATATGACATTGAATTGAGGCTGATCCTCCGCCTTCTTTCGGTTTTCCCGTCGCGGGAATAATATCACCCATGTCTCCTTCACGTCCTCTTGGTTCACGATCTCACCAAAAAGCTCTGATACCAATTCTTGTATTCAAAGAAAGATTAAGAACTCAAATATAAAGAATAACTCTCTTTATTTCTTTAGGAAAATTCCTCAAAACCTAAAGCTCTAATCTCTCAATCTCTTAAGGTTTACCACACCTTGGTAACTCTTATATATAAAGCCTAGAATCCTAAACAAAGTCCAATTAGGTTTAGTATTTAGATAACTCCTAAACACTTTAGGATAACTTCCAAATCTCTTAAGCTTTATCTCCTTTTTATTAGTTAACTTATAACTCAAGTTAACTAACCCAAGTTAACCTTTATTCAAGCTTAACTTCAACATTCTCCCCCTTCACTCCAAGGACCACATGGATCTTAACACACCTCCTCGATCCCTCACTCGGACCGATAATAAGCCCCTTTCTCGGGCCCCCATTACTCGGGTTTGAGGTATGTCCGTATCCACTTTTCTAGGTCCACCAGAATTTGAACCTTGGGCTCTGATACCATGTTAAATTTGGGCTAATTCTGGGCTTCCAACTAAAAACCAATTGGCAATTAGTGGATTGGCCCTAACCCTTTATATATTATTGATTGTCCCATCAAACTTCCGATGTGGGACTTGGATTGTATCTCCAACAATGTCATTCTAGCGAGCATTTGAAGAAGTTGCAGAGTTGGACACCAGAAGCTCCAGATCAATCGATCAACTTGTGCATCGATCGATCCAATTCCTCTTACGGACGAGAATTAGTTTCCAGATACGCGGGATCGATCGGTCTATCCGCCAGATCGCCGGATCGATCGATCCAACCCTAGACGCCCAGTTTAGTTTTCCTTAACCAGTTTTATTTCTTATTTTCTGTAATTCGGTATAAAAACTCCAGAAACCTAATTTTCTCATTCACGTTTTTTATTCTGCAACTTTTTGAGAGCTTTTCTTTTGTAAGAAACCTTGGAAAAATAATCCATCCTCTTTGAGAAATTGGAGAAGATTACTAACTTTTTTTCATTATTTATCAATTCAATCATGTTTTCTTTTATATGTTATTCCTTTTGTTATGAGTGAGTAGTCATCTAATTGGATTTTAGGGATTTCATTAAAGGGATTGATGGATTGGTAAATTGAATGATTAGCTATTGGGTAATTTATGTTGGTTTCTTCATCTTGAATGCATTTAATGCTTGAATTAGATTGATTAGGTTGTTTTACGCACCAAAGGTGTTTGATAAAATACCTGAATCAATTTGAGATGAGGAAAATTCTTCTTAGCTAACGAGAGTTGATGTTACAAAGTGTTGTGAACTTATTGGACTTCAGTTTAATGCTAATTTGATTTCATGATTACAAATGAGAGTTTAGTAATTGTTGAATTCGTGTTTAGGGGCTAATTCCTCGAGAGAAGATTAGTCTATTTTCGTGATCCATGTTCTAGAATGGTTTTTAATTAATTACCCTTAATTTATTCATTTCGTTTTGTTTCTCAATCCCTAAGAAATTTTCTAAAACCCAGCGCTTTTATCTTATCGTTTAATCAATCTTTATTTCATTGTTTATTGTATTGTTTTGCTTGATAACCCAAAAACCAAACAACCATTGCGTTTTAGCTAAGAATGAGTCTCACAAATCCTTAGAGTATTTTTGGTCTTTGTGGATCGACCCCGTATACACTATATTGCGGTTAAATGTATTGGGTAATTATTCGAGCAATCTAATTGGCGCTGTTGTCGGGGACCAGTTGCGTTACGTAAGGATTTAAGATTAGTTTTTAGTCTAGAGTATTTTTATTTATTGCTCACTTTCATTTGTTTTTTATTTTATTTCTTTTTTATTTTACCATGAAATACAATGATTGGCTGCAAGAAGAAGAGGATGAGCTCTATGTGGAACCACCATTTGATGAGAGTGTTCTTACATAGGAACAAAAAGTGAAGTTGGATGAACTTCACAACGAACATCTGACATTAGTAAGGAGTGATTTAGCGATTTTGATCCGGTTGAACCTCTTATCATTTCGGGCAGCATGTTAAGGAAGATAACTTACATTCTATGAAGAACAAGAAGCTCGTGCATTTAAAAAGGTAATATATTGGGTTCCACCTAGTGAGCTAGAAGGTACATGAGTTTCAAGCCTTGAAATTCATAATGTTGAGGATATTAAAATGTCATGCAT